TGCTTTCGCCGCTCCTGTTTGTGATATCAATAGACTGTATATCCAAGAGTCTAAACAAAACAGTTGAGCCTATCAGAATCGAAAGTCAAGTCGAAGGAGTTACGATCACTCGGGGCACACGTTCTACATGGATGACCTCAGAGTACTTGCTTCCACAACATCGGAAATGGAACAAGTTCACACTATTATATGTGAATAGTTCAATGCAATGGCGATGGAAGTCAACCAAACAATATGTGGTGTAGCTGCCCGCTTTGATGCCAAAGTCCCACAATGTATGCAAGATATCCCACGAGTCAGTTCTGACAATCCTTATAAGTACCTTGGTATTGAGATGGACGAAAAAGTCGACACCAAGACTTTTTGCACAAGGATGATTACAAGACATTTGGCAACTTTGACAATTATCAACTAAGACATTTGTCGAAACCCTTAAAATATTTGGTATTTATAACAATAAAATAAATATTTTTTATAAATATTTTTTTATTTTTGTAATTAGAAAACAATGTTATTAATATCATACAATTGTAAAATACAAAAAACATACATTTGAATAAAAATAGAAATTATTAAAAATATTATTTATTGGTATAATTTGTGTGCATTTTACATATTTTTTATAAAAATAATATTTTAAAATTAATTAAAAGTCAATTGAAATTTATTTAAAATACTCGAAATTACAATTATATATTACTTGTGTTATTTAATTTATACAAAAATAATAAGAATAAAAGATTTTTTTTCAAAAATAAAACATTTATAAAAAGTAAAAATTAATCTTTTCATATTTTGTACTTCCAGCTAAACAATTATTTAATAATATATATTATATATGGAATATTGTAAATACAATAGCTGGAAATTGAAAATAAATACTATCAATTTTAATAAAAGATATTTTATTTTTGATAATTATTTTGGTGTCAATGTTTGAATGCATTTTAGATTTCAAGATGTTTGAACCAATTTATTATTTCAAATTAAACTCTATTTTTACAATTATACATTTATATATTTATAAACATATTTTATTTAAAATTTTGTTTATTTAATACATTTACAATTAATTTATTCAGATTTATTTCAAATGACAAAAGAACCTCTTCGCTTCTTTAAAGAACTCAATGATAACCCAAAGCGACATCCAGTATTGTGTATTGGAAAAATATGTTTCTTTCAACGTGCCAAATGGGACAAATCGAAAAATGATATTGTTTTTGAATGTGCTGGAAATAACTGTAATGTAACAGTACATGTAAAAGATAATGATTATTATATTGTTGGAAATCATACTTGTATTTTTGATCACGAACGTTTATTTTTGTCAAGATGTCGAAGAGAAGCCGCAGATATAGAATTTGTTAAAGGTCTAAGTGATACTCCGCGTGAAATAACAAAAAGAGTCATGACACACAATTTTTGTTCAAACATGTCAATAAAAGACCATAGATCAATTAATAAATATATAACCAGACTACAAGAAAGACTTCTTGGAAGTAACCCCAAAACAATTGAAGATATCAATTTCACGGAAGTTTTGAAAACCACATTGATACCTCAAAATGAGTCTAATCCAGACAATACTTTTTTATTTTATGATTCTTTCACTGAAACTCAAACACTCTCCAGATTTTTTATTTTTTCTTCTTGTACACAACGGCACATCGCCTCCAAGTCAGAAAAATTGTTTGGTGATGGAACATATCGAATTACTCCAAACATAATTACATGTTTGTATACGTTACACTCTCTTATTGATAACACGTGTTATCCAATTGCATTTCTATTACTTCCAAATGAGACAGAAGAAACATTTATTTGTGCTTCTAAAGTACTAAAGCCCTTTTTAATCAATGTTAAAATTGTACACTGCGATTGTCAGATTTCAACAATGAACACATTTAGTAAAGTATTGGGAGCAAACATTAAATTATGCTCATTTCATTTAAATCAAGCAGTGTTTAGAATGTTGGGCAAAAAGGGGCTTTCTATAGAATATAAAAAATGCCAAATTACATCTATGGGTACGGCGACTATTTGGACTACCTTTTTTACTAAAAGAAGAAATACACAATGCTTTCGAGAAATTATTCATTGGAATGTCAACATCTTTAGAATTTGGTGTACCTTCACATTTATTAGAAAAGTACAAAGAAGTTTTAAATTATTATAAAGATTTTTGGTTGAAAAAAATTGCGAATGAAAAATGGTGTCAATTTTTCACAAAAAATAGGACAAATAATTTATGTGAAGCATTTCATCACGCAGTAGGTTTAGAGTTTCAAATTGCTCATCCAAGACTCGTGGTTTTGGTCGACATGTTAAGAAAATTGGATGATATGTGTAGGCAAAGATGGTTAGATATGGCAACTGGAAAACACGAAGTTGCTTATCGACTTGCAACTCAAGAATTAAGCAGAAAATTGAATATTACAATGGAAAGTTATCAAATGGAAAGTTTGAAAATCAACTGCAATATCTAGACGCAATTGGCAAGTTGTATATTGACTACAATTTTACAACAAAGGCGTCAAGAAGAAATGTATCCATTCGTGCTATAAATGCATCACAAAGATTGATAAATGAAATGTATATTATAATACAAGAACAACAAAATCTAACTTTTGATGAAAATGGGACAAATTTAAATATATCAACTATCATCGAACCGAGTTATTAAAGTGAATCTGATTTTGAGTCAACAATAAAATCAATACACGAATACAATTCAACATTACAATCAATTTTTGAAGAAAACAGTGTTATTACATTGGAAAAAACAGAAGGAAAGATGGAAAATGACCGAAACTGCGTAAAAAGTGGCATTAATACTTCAAAGATAAAATCAAAGAAAACACCAAAAAAGAAAAAATTGACTATATATGAGAAATTGAACAAAGAAAAAAACCCTCGAAATCACAAGAACAATATTGATTAATTTAGTTTTCTATTAAAATAAAAAGCAATTTTTAAAATAAATATTCAATTTGCATAATATAATAATTATGTTTAATATAATACCTTTTTATTGTGTTTAAAATTTGTTATGTATTTATACAAGATATTATATTTATAATCAGAATATTATAACAATTCAAATAATTAGAATGTAAATCATATTTATTTGATAAGATTAACATAAATATAAATTCTAAATTGTTTTAAATAATATTATTAAGTATACAATTTGTTTATAATAACACCTATTAATTATTTTTTTAATAATTTTAATTTTTTATTCAAATGTATGTTTTTTTGTATTTTACAATTGTATGATATTAATAACATTGTTTTCTAATTACAAAAATAAAAAAATATTTATAAAAAATATTTATTTTATTGTTATAAATACCAAATATTTTAAGGGTTTCGACAAATGTCTTAGTTGATAATTGTCAAAGTTGACAAATGTTTTTTTTACCCACAAGGATCACAAATGGGATAGAGGACTGCATGAGAAAAATAGCAAGAAGGAACCTAAGTGCCGTGAATTTTATTCGAACTATCAACACTGACATTATCTCAAAACTGAGGTACGGTTTCAGTGTGGTTCCATGGAAACTGGGTGCTCTTAACAAGTTAGACCTCAGAATCCGAAAGTTCCTCACCGAACAAGGAATCAATGGCAAAAGCCTTACATCATCGCGGATCTATGTCAGGCAAATAAATATGGGTTATAACCTTAGTGGTTGCAGAGACGAATGTGGCAAGGAGATCGTGTGAATATACTTGAAGTACCTATGGCACAGTGACTCGATTATTGCAAACCTTATGCAATACACAGCCGATATTCCTCGCAGTCTGATGAAGAGAGCTGTAGCCTGCTTGTGGAAGAAGGTGACAGAGCAAGAGCTGCAAGACTGCATAGAGAAAGAAGCCGCAGAAAACAAGTCGATTGCAGTGGTTCTGAATGCCATATCTGAAAAGATAAACTCCTTCTACTTTGAGTAGAGGAAGTCCAAAAAGGAGGCTGGTATTCTTCCTAGAATGCTTGAGAATGTCGCATGCAACTGAGATATCTCAGGAAAAGCATGGAAGAACTGCAACATCAAAAGGGATTCATTCAAATGGTGAGAATGCAGGAAAAGGCAACCTTTTGTGGGACGAGGAAGGCAATCATCACTAGAAACAAGGCTAATGCACGATGCTACTGCTAAAAAGATCAGATTGCCAACATAGGACACATCTTGCTGAGTTGTCCAATGACCAAGAAGTCTCAAATAGCCAGACACAATGTAGTCTGTGACAAAATCCACATGGCACTGCTGAAGAAGCTAAAGATGATAGATGAGAACACCTCAATGACGGTGCCTCCCAAAGACATGTACGACGAAGGGGAGAAGAATGTGATCATTGCCGAAAGAAATTTGCTTTGTGATGATAAGCAAAGCTTTGCTCGAAGACCCGACATTTATTGGCAAGACAATGAAGCCAAAAAGGGTTATGTGGTTGATGTCACAATTGTAAAAAATGAAAACCACTGCTTACTTCCGAAAAGTGTCAAAATACATCACACTTTGTGAAAAGCTTCGAAATGCAAGTAATCTGCGAAGTGTGACTACTGTTTTTGTGGTCATAACGATCAGCGGACTGATAAACAAGCTCTCTGTGGAAAGGATAGAAAAGCTGTTGAAGATCAGATTGGACCTACCTAAGATAATCAGGTATGTCACAATCTCTAGTATGAAGGATCTGATGACTTACTTGAGTCGTAGGAGAGCTTCCTTTGAGCCAGGAAACTCACTCGATTGTTCTCCACATGACGAATCGGGAACAGAGAATCCCGAAGGCGAAGAGATGGTTGAAGGAGAAGACTGCTCCGAGATATGTAATTCAATAACAAATCAAATTGGAAATGCATAATTGAATATTTGGTTAGAACCAATGTTTATTA